TTCATGTTTCCGATATTCCACGAACCATCGGGTCGGTTTGTCAGTAAACTAATCCCCTCAATTGTCAAACCATTTCGACGGAAACCAAAATTTTCATAAAGTATATCTACATATTGTAGAAATGATATCTTCTCCCCAATGCAAAATGAACCATCCGGACGGTTTATAAAATCTGAAAATGAATCTAAAACCTCTTTGGGATAATTCCAATACACATTAACAAAGTATGGTAGTCCGGCAGACGCCATTTATACCTGTTAAAAATAAAATCACGAATTCATTTATCAAACCCTAATACTCATAATCCATCAATAACATATAATTCACTTTCAACCAAAAAACCATAAAAAAAAAATCATTCTCAATCAAATAATCCCCTTATCGAACAATAACATATAAATCATCTATAATTTCGATAAATTGAAACCCTAATTTCAAAAAACCCTAACCACAACAACAACCAAACAATTACACAATTGACAATTCACACATAATATTTCAATATCCAATTCAACATACACACATAATCATTAATCAATTAGCAATTTCAAGTTTCAAACACCAACACATTCAAACATATTATAACAATTATCAATCTCCAAATAACTCCAAACAAATATAAAAAGTTAAGATAAACCAATATACCTCGTGTGAATGAATTAACCGGAAATAAGGCTCGTGTCGCTGTTGTCGGTTCACGTTAGAGTGAAGATTGGATCGAGTTTTTTTTTTCTCATCTATTTTCGCTCCTCTTTGAAAAAATGCTCTCAGTAGTGCTTGCTGCTCGCTCGCGTAAATGGAGAAGAAAGATTTTTTTTTAATATATTTTACGCAAAACGTATTTAAGGAATACGTTTTCTGTACATTTAAATGTAAAACGTATTCCTTAAATACGTTTTGATTAAATGAATTTTTTAAAAAAAAATAAATTTTTTTAATACGCATTTAGTAAATACGTTTTCTGAAAACGTATTACTTAAATATGGTTTTTTTTATTATTTTTTTATTTAACGAAAATTATTTTGAAAATTGTTTACGATTTTTTTTTTAATTAAAACATTTAAATGAAAACGTATTCAAGGAATACGTTTTTTTAATTAATTTTTTTTTGAAAAACATATTCAAGGAATACGTGTGTTTTATGCTTGTCCACTCCCATTTTTCTTTTTTTTTTTTGTCCACTTAATTTCAATATTTTTTTTAAATAAATCACCCTAATTTTTAGTGGATATAAAATTCTTGGCTAAAGTGAATTTAAAAAAAAAATGATGGGATTATGTTTCAGTGATTTTACAGTTTTATTTATCTAACATTTAAAATATAATAATTAAAATTTATGTAATATAAAAGTATGAGATTATTATTGGAAATGTTGAATTATTTAAATTATATGAGTGAATGGATAATGAATAATATTAATGTGATGTGTAATCATAATTGATTGATATTATTTAATTATATTAATAATATTATAATTTAGTTGAGTGAAATTCTAAATAGATTTTGAGTAAACTGTTTGATTCGAATATTTGCAGTATTTTAGTTACATATAAAATTATCATGATGTTTAAAAGACTTGTGTTTATCATTTCTCATTAAAAAAAAAAAATCTAATGGAAGAAAATAAATTTATTAAAAGTTAAGCAATGGTAAAATCTATTTTTTTCACAATTAACTAATTTATATAGTAAGTGATAAGTGTTTATATATATACATATATATATATATATATATATATATATATATATATATATATATTATAAGCAAAAAAATTATTATGTCTAAAAACATAATAGTTGATACGCACAATATCTCTGTTGTATAGTAATTCATATTGGTATCAAGTTATCGCGACAATTGCAAAATCAATCGATTATTTTTAAATTTTTAAAATATGATTTTTTTTTTTATAAATATGCATAAAGTAAGAAATTATTAACTTATCTTTAGATATATTATTGTAATATTAATGTATTGTCATTTTTTTTATAACTATTTACTACATGAATCATAAAATATTTTTTATTTCATAAGGTTACATACATATAAAGAAATTATAACTATTTACTACATGAATCATAAAATATTTTTTATTTCATAAATTTACATACATATAAAGAAAATAAGAAAAATTCATTTCATCAATCGAGTGATTGAATTAGGTTAATGCTCGTTATTAGTTGATATTTGTATAATAAATGCACTATAGTTCATACTCCGAATAATCATATTAAGAATGTTTTTATAACAACATGTTTAATGATTTATGAACAATTATGTATTACTAGTATTCGACCATGTGCATTAGCACATATGTAAATAGAGTATTACAAGTTATATTTATGTATATAATATTAAAATTACAAGTTAGAGAACAATATTATATTTTCAACATAGAATAGTATACATTATATTTATGTATATAATATTAAAATTATAAGTTAGAAAATGATATTATATTTTAAATTTTGATAATTAGTCAAAATAAACAATACATAATTATCTGATTGAATATGAATCACTATATTAATTGCATAAAATATAATATATAATGTAATTTTTGTATTTTCAGATATCATGACCAAATAATTAGTTGAAAAAATCAAATTTAATATAACAATTACTTATGCGATTTCAAGGAATTTATTATAACATTAAAATAAATTAATATATTTAAAAATACAATCGATAAATCCAATAAAAAATAATATTAATTTGAGAATAAATAACTTGAACATAAATTTTAATATATATATATATATATATATATATATATTTTTGGTTATGTAACTTTCATCTATCATTTAGTGTAAATATAAGTATTATTTTTAATAATAACTATTATATGATACAATAAAATAAAATAATTATTACTCAGTTACTAGAAAATATAACGATTTTTGTCTTATTTAGCTCTAAAAAATGCAATGAAATATTTTATCATTAATTAGATAATAATAATAATAATAATAATAATAATAATAATAATAATAATAATAATAATAATAATAATAATAATAATAATAATAATAATAATAATAATAATAATAATAATAATAATAATAATAATAATAATAATAATAATAATAATAATAATAATAGATAGATAGTAACCTAAAAAGACGGTAAACAACAAATAGTCCATTTAATAATTTATGAACAAAGGTCAATCAGGACAAATTATGAGGTTTTGTTAAATAGGTTTTATTAAATGACCTGCCAGAACATACCAAGTTTTCTCCTCTGTTCTCCCCAAAAATCCTCCGCACATTCCCGTCAGATCCCGTTCTTCCTCCTCAATCCTTCAGGTCGCCTTCCTCGACGGTGAAGTAGCATCAGCTAGGGGTCGTCCTCGACCGCCTTCCCCACCCCTTGACGCGTCGCGACTTCGGAGCCTGCGGATGGCGACGGCTAGGGTTCCAGCTTCAGATTGCAGTCGAAGCTTCAATCGGAGTAGGTGCTCATCCCAATCGGCGATTGACCTGCTTCTAGTGGTTAGCCCTTTATTTTCCCTCCTCGTCTGCGCCGGTTTGGAGTTGGTTGTTCGGGCGGAGCTCCGCCTTTCAGGTGGGGTCTCGTTCTCCGGTCGTCAGCAGGTCGTGATGGTGTCGGGAGGGGCGCGTGTCTTCAGGTGGGGCAGGACCTCAGTGGCTGCAGCGTCCTTGTTGCG